AACATTTCAAAACCTTTCACCTGAACCGCCTGCTCGCCTGCCCTTCTCTTAGCTTACATAAAAAACATAAAATCAAAGGAAAGGCATTAAGGCGCTTCAAAAGGATGGAACAAAGGTTTAATTAAATACGATTCATAGCAGCTGTTATTGATTTATTCGTAGAATTAAAATCGTCGGTCCTATGTTTCACGAAGAGAGAGAGAATTTGACTTAGTTAATTTTTATATCATACATAAATTTCCCTTTATATAACGGACAACAACTAAAGGCACTTTTCGCTTGTGGATAAGCGTTTATCGCAGCCTTGGTAGGGCTCTGGGTACCCAACTCTGCAGACCAAAACAGAAGCAAAATGAAACAAAATCAAAATCAAAAATATATTTATTCAAATAGACGCTTGCGCGCTCTTATGAATCGTCAAATTTTACATCAAAGATTATGTGTATAGGTTCGTAAGGTACCACCGGTTCGGAAAGCGGTTTCTGTTGAGAAGAGACCGGCAAGAAACTCAACAGTTGCTCTTTTTCAAAAATATCAGGGTACAATATAATATACACGTATAATAGTCTTATTCTAGCCTACGTGAGTATCAACAGTATTAACTCCACACATTGGCGTCGTCGAGATATTCCGAAATGGTATAATATGCTTTAATCATCAGTTGATTTTTAATTTTACATTTAAATTGGTCAAGCGGCAGACTTAATATCCACTGTGACGGATTTTATTATACATGCGCACACTTTGCCCCATGAACGACTTATTTACTTTTTGTAGACGAAACAATGGCGTAGTAAGTTTGTCCTTATTTCTAGTGTTTATTTTATGTCTGTCACTATTCTTTAGGTAATAATTAAGGTTATGACGTATATACAAAACATTACAATAAATGTATTGACAAGCAACAGTGAGTATATTAACCTCTTTGAAAAGATCTCTGAGTGAAAAGGGCAACTATGCCCGGTCCACTGTGATCATGGGGTCTCCTTTATTTCTTCATTTTTCGCATTTAGAGGTACGTGATTAACAAGGCCATGTAAACTGATTACCGCAGCCTATGGACATAAACATCCGTCGCGTTTCATCAACCTATAAAGTGGGCCCCTGTTCCTCAATCACTGGACGAAACACAACAGCGTAATACTTCTACTGTCCGCAGATCTTCCGCGGTTCCGTGATAAGATGCCCGATCATTAGAGGGCTTTTCGAACGAAAGCGACGTCTACACCATCGGGCTAGAATGAAGGAGTCACAGATTGTACTGGCAGTTTGTCGACGTCAATACGCGGTCACCTGTTGTACCATCTCCACTTCACAACAACAGCACTCACCGCTGTGAACTTTACGAATTACGATAGTTTTACACCATCGTAAGACGTCGCTACAGTTCGAATAGATACACTGCTCAAAAATAATCTTATCGTGCACCTTCTGGCGGCAGTATAAACATTATTATATTTGTTTAAATAAATATGCGACACGGTTAATGGTTGTAAAACGTTACGCAATGTTCCGCTCAGTCGTACAGACGTTTATTTACGCATCTAGGTCGGTGTTTTCTTAGCATTGTGCCGATCAGCCATTGATTAGTAACCTTAAATGAGCTGTAAGACACCCTATATGGTGTGCAATTAAATATAACAAAGTTGTAGTAAGAATTGCGGAAATGAGTTAAATGAATCTATAATTTTTTTTTGCAAACAACTGTTCTTCGTTCATTTTTACTATATAAATACGATTTTTTTTTCTGGAGTTATGGGGCTTTTTTTTTATTATGCTGATAAAAAAAAATAAAAGTAACATATTTGAGGTTAATAAAATCAATTATATTTTGTTTACAAAATTATGTAATAAAGTGTTACAACTTTATAACAATACAACATGAATACTGGATAATATTTTTTGTTTAAACGAAAGAAAGAAAAAACTATTGAATGTTACCAGATTATGATAATTGGTGAAGATTATCATATTACAAAAGTATTAGTAGTGTTTAGATATTTGAACAGCTATTAAATTGTTGTAAGGCAGTATTGAAATTTAGATGTAATAAAAAAATTACTGTATTTCGAACACCGGTTTCAATTTCAAATATTAACACTGTATTAAAAGGCATGAAATTTTTGAAAAACTCAGTTTCATTAAATAATTTAGGATTTAAATTTATCATTCAACTAAAGATTAGGTGACCTTGGCATAACTGATATTAATTCAGATACAGGCATATGCTTGAAGGTGATATAGTTAAATTTTGTTACACTAAAACTTTTAGAATTTAATATATATAATAACTTTGTGTTTTAGTTGAAAGTTATCTTAATATCATATTAAACACTTTCCTTTATGTAATTTTCTGCAAATTTAATTACCTTTTTTTTACTTTTAAATACTTTAAATGATTTATTATATTTCAGTTGTTTGTTGCTGAAGACAATACATTTCACAGGATTGATATAACTAACTCAGAATTCTTAAAGTGTAGTAGGTAACAAGAGATTTGTTTTTCTGTAGATTATTAATAGAATTCTTATAGGAAGTGTGAAGTGAAAACTAGGCCACACTGAGGTCCATATACTATTTTTAACCACTTTCTCTATTAACAGTTGAAATTTAGATTTATAGACAAATAAGACAATAAGGAATAAATTTAATAAATGTAATAAGACTTTTTCAGTATAATTATAAGGATTTTGTGAAGGTGATGTATTTGGCAAGATAAAAAATACTTACCTGAGGGGAAACAGATAAAAATCGGACCAGATTATCACTTAGCAATACAGGCCACAAAATTATTTAATCATTGCTGCAGCTGATTTAAAATATCTACCATTGTGCGTAACTATCGAAAATAACTACGCGTGTCAGGTGATGTGATGTAACAATAATTACCATGTGTTTTTGTATTCATTAGGTCAGAGTGGCGTCAACAACGTGTTGCTAGGAAACTGGGGTTCAGAGAGAGACCGCGTGCGCTAATCCGTGCGCCGTGCTTCCTACGTGGAACTACGGCGTGCAATTTGGTGCACGTGCCGACGCGGACCCTAAAGGTTCATTACATAACTACAGGGACAGCGGACGAGCAACACGGAGGACATCACTAACATCACCGTCAACCATCCGTTCCATATTTAGATGAAGCGCTAACGTCTGCGTCTTTGCATACTTCAGGCGACTCGGTAACATTTTTAGATCCGCCGTGTAAACGATACCGACCGTACCACGTTGTACGGCAGAATGACCGTAACGATGTTTAATATAGTTGTTATTCAAGGAGCATAATACAAAATGCGCATAATATAGACAAAATGCGTAATATTCTTCGAACAGTTTTATTTATGACGGAAATAAGATTAATATATATTGAACATATAAGAAAATGACAATCAAGATATAAATCGAACGCTTCCCTTACCTTAAAGATGTCACGTTGGTTTACCACACAAATTAGAAATTAACAACAACAAACAGCATTACGCGGCCACCGTTCTTGAAATCAACACTCAACAAACACCTCAACACCCAATCAGACCATAAACTAAGGAGTAACCTACATAAATAAACATATGATATGATCTGATAGTAGTTACATGGTCTATGATTTACAATGACAGTTCAAAAATATCTTGAAATGTAAAAAGGAACTTAATGTAAAAAGGAATATTCATTTGGGCAAATTATTCAAATTCATTATTACATTAAACATTTAAAGAAAAAAATTTTAGGAATATCTTGAAACTGATTTTTTTTATTTTCTTCCGTAATGATCTTAAAACGATACCAGTTAACCAGAAGGCATGAAGTCCAACGGTCTCTGCATTCTGCGAATTGCTATTGTGTATTGACTAGCACTTGGCTAGCACCCAAAATCTTGTCGGTTTTTCAGAAATTTAGAAAGTGACCGAATATAATTAAACAGTCTAGCCATAGGTACTAAAACGCGCCTAGAAAGCTGTCTCAATGCCGAATTTGGGATCCCATCATGCACAGGTGCATGGGCGCGGTTCGGCGCAGCAGAGCATGTCAAATCTTGGCTTGTAAAATGCAACTACGCTAAAGTCCAGATCGACGTTCAACAGGAATTCCTGTGCACAATATCACGCGTTTAGACAATTTCTCGGTGAGCTTATTCAAGTGTGTACGCGAGTGCATAACCATAGCGCTCAATACGTCTAAGTTGAATACGAAATGGTATTGGTAATATTTAATTGCGAACGCTAGTTGGTAGTGTCTTGGAATTAGAATTGGCGCATTCTCGAAGTCCTAAGGTGATGTTATCTGCTAGGGCAACGAAAACTCCTACAGTTCGAATTTATATCTCCCGCAGTCAGTCCTCAACCCAAGCTGCCTAGACACTAAGCTTAAGGCCCCAGATAGAGCAAAATTACAATAGAATAATGTTGCAAGACTACATAGCAATTAACAGAATAGCAGGGAAGATTTATCGAAAATATTATGTATATCTAATACTTGCGACCCGTCCCGGCTTCGCACAGGTGCAATGTATTATACATATAAACCTTCCTCTTGAATTACTATATCTAGTAAAAAACCGCATCTTAGATCTTTAAAACTACGGCAAGATGAGCATACATAAGGGACAGACAGACAGAGGAAGGACTTGGTTTTATGCTATGTAGTGATGTTGAGATGCAGCTTGGGAAAACGGGGACGCATGGGTTCGAATCTCTCCACAAGCCACATTTAGCCTCATACATATTATTGCCATAGTTTTACATTACAGCAGCCCCAACTTCTCATGAATCAAATCCCTCCGCACAAGAACCACTGTAATACTTTGCAATTAGCCTTGTGGAGACGCTTCGTCGCGCCGCGACCACTCCGACGAACCTTCGCAAAAAAACAGAAAAGCTTTCGGTCGGGCCAAAGGTTTTTTTCCTTCTGCGCGGTTGAATCACCCCGCACTGCGTCGGAAAGTTGACTGGCAGCTGTAGTGTAATGTGCTTCTGTACGAATGTTGTTAACGGAATCCATTTGATAAGATGTTCATCGCAGGCGTCTGGCGGCGGCTGGTGTGGAGGCCACGGCACGGCGGCTCCAAGATGGACCACAAACGTTTCAAGGTTTAAACGTCATTCCATATACAGCGTGTCGTTACAACCACGACAATAAATGAACACACAAATAGAGGATAACTTTTTAAAATTGTATTAAACATTTACATTCTTTAAACATCAATATTTACAGAGTTATTAAATTTTCCAAAACAAACAATTTTAGAACAAAACTGTTTGTTTTGTAACAAAACTGTAACGTAAAGTTCATTTGTAAAGGTCACAAAGCATATGAATGGGTTGAATGAATTTAAAAGAGACAAAACATGCTGTTAGAAGGAGAGGCTTGTAATGTGACGCTGTGGCGCGAGTTGTATAGGTGTTACAAATTTTGTTTCTTTTTTACTTAATTAGTTTGTATGAAAAAAAAATTTTTTAATTATGGATTTTGTTTAACGTTAATATTTTTTTATGATTATTGGCAAGTAGCGTTAGACGTGTGTTCATTTATTGTCGCGATGGTAACGACACGCTGTATACCTGTTCAGGTACTGCGAACTTTCTGCGAACTATCGTATCTGGGCGAACGCCACAAGTTCTTTTAGGATTATAGCCTGTTATAGCAGTTATTAGTAAAAATACACATCATTGTGTTTAAACTGGCGACTAATTGAAAAAGTAAAAAAGAGGCTATGGACAAATGAGTGAATCGTAAGAAAGAATTGATCCTTATCAGGTAAACTACAAAAAATTATGCAAATATTAATGTGTGTCTTACTTTTAATCTTTGAATAAATATAATGGTATTAAAACCAAAATAAACGCGATAAATCCGTAAACATAGTTTCATTTAGTAATTTTGATTGTTCTTCTTCTTCTTTTCTTTTTTGGCGGTTTCCAATGAATACGCCAATGAACACTTCTGGTTGTTTATATTTTGATTGTTCAAAACTGAACGAACACGCAAACCTGCATTATTGCTTATTCTTAGGTATGCGTACTAGGCGTAATTGAAAAGAGTCAATCTTTATAATAATGTTTATAATAATAATAATGAGAATAATCTAATGATTAACTGTATATATTAATTAAATTTTTAGTCGCATATACTTTAACTTCTAACTTTAGTTTTAACTTTAATAATAAATGAAAGTTTTTTTTAATATTTCTATTTATCTGTTAAATAATCGATATATAATTTTATAACGAGGCAACAATGCCTTTGCCCAGACAGACCACAAAGAAGAAAACACGTTAAACTTGACGTGGACTTAACTAGCTGGCCCACTTTGTTAAACAATAATGTACTAGAATTTCTTACTACTTTAGGACTGTAAGGCAAGGGTTTTATTTCTTTAACCCAATAAATGCTATTCTTTTATAAACTATGGGTCTAAATATCGTAAGTACATTTTTATTTTCCTATCTAATGATCACTTGACAGTAATTTTCCGGAATCGGTTCTTCTATGTATTGTAATTATTTAAGGATGATTTTCTTTTTCTTTCACAGAAGATGTATATTACATTCTGTGCAGTGATCTTACCGCTATTCCTAAGTCAGAAAGCTGAGGCGGCAGCGGTAATATCAATAGATCTTGGTTCAGAATGGATGAAAATCGGCATCGTGTCACCTGGTGTCCCGATGGAAATCGTTTTGAATAAAGAGTCGAAGCGTAAGACACCGGCCGTAGTCGCATTTAGAGACGGCGTGCGAACATTTGGGGAAGATGCTGTTACAGTAGGCGTAAGGTTTCCAAAGAACACATACAAATTCTTGCTAGATTTACTCGGAAAACCATATGATCATCCTTTAGTGAAAGCATACAAGTAAGTATTCGAATATTAATACTTTTTATTGGCTTGCTAGAGACTTCTACAACTTCTTGATTATAGGATGATGAATTTCAATTTAATAATACTACTTTTATTATTATCAACAGAGAGCGGTTTCCATACTATGATTTGGAGGCATCTGACCGTGGCACTCCTATATTTGTACATGATGAGAATACAAAATTCACACCTGAAGAACTAGTTGCTCAACTTCTAGCTAAGGCGAAGGAGTTTGCAGAGATTAGCCATGGTATTTATATTTTTTCCTTTGAAATTATTTCAATATTTTTTAAAGATGATAAAATCTTTTCTTCAACATATATCTGCCCATTCCTCAAAAAAAAAAAACTTGGTATTAGTTACTATTGCAATTGATTCAATTGATCAAATTTTTTTGATGTCACCCTCCTTCACAGGGCTATTTGATATATTAAATTGTGCACCTAACAAACATGTGTTGACTGCATTTTAAAATGTTATATTGTGGGACATGATTATCTATGTTCTAAAAAAAATTATTAAGTGTAAAATTTTGGAATCATAATTTTTCACACTTAAATCATTTCCTTATTTTATTATATTTATTTAATTCAATATTAATGAACTTTATTATTAAAATTATTTATCAAATCTTTTAATAATCAACCTTTACTGTTTCAGGTCAACCAATCACTGAATGTGTTATCACTGTGCCTGGATATTTCAATCAGGCAGAAAGAAGAGCATTGAAGGATGCAGCGTCACTTGCAGGGTTGAATGTTCTCCAACTTATAAATGATTATACGGCAATTGGGATAAATTATGGCATATTCAGGAGAAAGGTGTGATGCATTTTCAATTTACGGTTTATTTATGTAACAACAGATTTATTGTCTGCAAATATTTTTACTCATTATAGAAATCATACTACTTTTATTATAAAAAAATCCTTCCAAACATTTAGATATAATGAATAAAAAAATTTTAATGTTTACAAACAAATGGTGTAACAAACAAAATAATAATGATTAAAAATTTTGCGCATGCTGGCTTTATCATATTTTGACCTCATCATTTGGGGAACTTTAGTTTATATGGGTCTTAGTCATCTTATGTAAAACATATTTCAATAAATGTTTCTACATAAATAAAAAAAATTTTGTGAATGAAAGTAGAAAAAAAAAATGATCCTTAAGTTTTTTTTTCTGTTGTTCCATGTGTTATAATTTTCTTACATTCTTTAGTTTGTACATTCATATAATGGGGACAAAACCTGACCTGCATGTAATATATAATTTTTCTAATTTATTAAAACAATTATCTTATAGTTGTTATAATACTTGTGTATATTTTGTTTAAAGGAAATCAATGACACGCCTTGGTACACTCTGTTCTTTGATATGGGTGCAGTTTCTACAAAAGCTGCTTTGGTTGAATATAAGACTGTGAAGATAAAGGAGAAGGGTTATGTTGAGACTGTGCCGCAGTTACAGGTTATCGGTGTTGGATTTGACAGGTTAGTTACAACATAACTGTATTTGAGAATTATTTTGTATTATGTTTAAATAAAATCGTTTATGGGGCCTTAAATCATTCTCTGTCAAATCTGATTAATTTTTGCTGAAAAAATTGAGAAGAGAAATAACTATAAAGGGAAATTACAGTAAGAGTTTAATGGAAGTAGATGAAAAATTATTATAGTCAAAAGTGGTGTTCTATGGTTTTTAATTTTACTCTTTCTTCCTTATTAAAAATTAATGTACTGTGTACATTTAGTAATTATACTTATTGTAATGTTTACAGAACTTTGGGAGGTTTTGAAATGACATTGCGTCTCAGAGAGCACCTGATTAAGGCTTGGCTTGCAAACGGTGGAGGAGACGTTAGGGCCTCCCCTAGAGCAATGGAAAAGCTCTTGAGAGAAGCTGAGAGATTGAAAATAGTGCTGTCAGCTAACACTGAACACTATGCGCAGATTGAGAATTTAATGGATGATAAAGACTTCAAAGTATTGGTAAGGGATTTAATGGTTTATTTCATTTAAATAACATAAACTAGTAGAATTTTATTAAGATAAAAAATATTTCATCCACATTTAAAAAGAAAATATATTTTATAAAAAGTTGATAGGACATTTTGATAAAACTAATTTACTCGTTTCTGTTATACATTCTATCTTGGTTATTATATTTTTAAACTTCCAAAGTTTTGAATACATTACATTCAAATATGGCCTGTCACCATGAATGCCTTAAGCCGAAAATAAGTAATTAGTATTGCAGTTGCCGGTAATGCTTGCCAATGCATCTTATTTCATCAATACGCAGTAGCATTTAAACTAACAAAATTATTAAATATTACCAGGTAACCAGGGCCGAATTCGAAGAACTATGCTCGGATTTGTGGCCACGAGTGGCGGGAGTAGTTCAACGCGCCGTGGCGGCTGCCTCGGGCTCCGGTGGTGGTGCGAAACTGGTGCTCGCTGGTGGCGCAGCCCGGGCGCCGGCGGTCCATGAAGCCCTACGCACTGCTGTAGGCCATGAACCCGCCCGGTCCATCAATGCTGACGAAGCTGCTACAATGGGAGCTGTGTATAGGTAAATCATAAATTTCGAAATTCTAATTAATATTATTTAATGCCTTGTATTTATTTCAATGTCTTGAGTTTTTAGTATTTCTTTTAACCAAACTGGAAACTCAGTATTGTTGCATTCATATGAACTTAGATTACCACTGTAAATTGTAATGTAGATTAATGCTAACAAAGCTTTCATAATGCATGAAATATGTATTTTAAATAAGTATAACGGAAGCAACGGACTGAAGACATGACATGTCATTTCAAATACTTGAGTATGTATTCTTATTGTCTACAGGGCAGCGTCACTCGCCACTGGTTACAAGGTCGCAGCGTTGAATGTTCGAGATGCCGTGCTGTTGCCCATACAAGTTGTATTCACAAGAAACGTCGACGGCAGTGAGAAATTGGTAAAAATCTTGTTAAACTTTTTTGTTCAGTTTCCCGTTATTTCGGATTTTTGTTAAATCTTGGTTTATGATTTCAGGAGTTGGTAAGCGATCAAAACTTTTTAAAAATTAGACAAAAATTGTGTTAATTTTGTCTTATCGTTTCACTACCATATGAAAATTTTCTTTTTCTCTCTTTTATTAGTTTCATATTAATTTTTAATTAATTGTGATAAGTTTTGATCAAGGACTAATAAATAAAGAAGTACATTTTTTTCAGATTAAGCGAACTCTATTTGGTCCTATGAACCCATACCCTCAAAAGAAAGTAATCACTTTCAATAAGCACATAGATGATTTCGCATTCAACGTCAACTATGCAGAATTAGATCACATTCCCTCTTCGGAGCTGAATTATATCGGCTCGTTGAACCTAAGCCAGGTAGTACTGTCTGGTGTCGGTGAAGCTTTAGCCAAACACACCGGGGAAAACGTTGAACACAAGGGCATTAAAGCTCATTTCAATATGGACGACTCTGGCATCCTCAACTTGGTGAATGTAGAATTCGTAGCGGAGAAGACTGTAACTGAGGAGGAAGAGGACAAGGACAGTACCCTATCGAAAATAGGCAGCACCATAAGCAAACTGTTCGGTTCCGATTCCGAAACGCCCGAGAAGGCCGAAGAGAAAACTGAAGAGAAGCCCGCTGAAGCGGAAAATAACGGAACTAAAACTAACGAGACCACGGCGGATAAACAGAACGCCACCGAAACTGAGAGCAAACCGAAACCCAAAATAGTGGTTCTGAAAGAGCCCATAAAAAACGAGGAGCAGGTGCTAAACCTGCAGCCCTTGTCGCCGGAACAGTTCAAGGAATCGAAAAACAAAATCAAACAGTTGAACGCCATTGATAAGAAGCGAATTGAGAGGGAAACAGCGCTCAATAATCTAGAGACGTTCGTGGTAGATGCTCAGCTTAAAATCGAAATGGACGAATACGCCGAATGCGGAACGGCGGAGCAAGTTGAGGAAATCAAAAAGCTGTGCGCCGAATTGTCGGAATGGCTATACGAAGAGGGCTATGAAGCTGAGACAGACACTTATGAGGCCAAGTTGACTTTACTTAAGGACAAAACCAATCCTATTTTCTACAAACACTGGGAGCACAGGGAGAGGCCCGATGCGGTGGCAGCGATGAAAAGCATGCTCAACAGCTCGCAGGAGTTTTTGAAGATGGCAAGGAATCTGACCAAGGAGGCCAACTCTGATCGCGACGTGTTCACAGACGTAGAAATCGGCGTGCTGGAGAAGAAGATCGACGAGACGAAGTCCTGGCTCTCCAAGTCGATCGAGGAGCAAAATCAACTGCGCAAAAACGACGAGGTCAAACTGACCGTTGACAGCATCCGTGAGAAAATGTCCAGTCTAGACAGGGAGGTGAAGTACCTAGTTAACAAGATGAAGATATGGCGCCCGAAGAAGCCCGCCAAAAAGGAATCCGAGAACAAGACGGAGACGGTTATAGAACCTGAAAATAATGGAGAACACGAGAAAACAGAAGATCAAAAAGAGTCAACTGAGAACCAAGAGGAGAAACCAGAAATCTTACCTGAAGTAAAAGAGGACACCGGAGGTGAGAAAGAAGAACTACCGCAAATATCTGACGAAAATTCTGAACATTCCGAGTTATAATGGAGAGGTGTTATAATCTAATTTATTAGTATAATTTATTTTTTACTCTGAAAACAGAAGGGACTTGTTAACTTTTCGTATATATACATATATTGATAAAGTCTCGCACAAAAGTATGTTAAGTTATTACAGACGCTGAGTTCTGTAGCACATTACTTATTTAACTTGACTTAAATCTATCAAAAATGTAGGTTGTTTCTACACAATGTTATTATATGGTCTATGACCAGTAGAAATTAATATATGAAAAGGTAACAAGTTCACAGAAGCAAGATGAAAATCTCAACTGAAGCTATTCGCCGCCCTTTCTTTTCTATCGCCACCTATGCACGAATTTGATGTAACATAGACGTTGAGTGTAGAGAAATTTTGTTTTAAAATAGTACATTTTCCGTCTATGTTATATCGTGACAAATTAAAAGTCTGTGTTTGTGTTTGTTTGTTTTTTTTTTATTTGATGGTTAATTGTAGCGGCGTCCATTATGCTATTCGTTTCGCAATGAACCCCAAAAAATACGATAAAACAGCGCAAGAACCTATTATTGTATTTATTAATGTAAACTTGTTTGTGATATGAGAGTGACTGTACATTGTGAGGATTTGGACTGTTCTTCTGCTACAGGCAAAATTTGAGTTTTTAAACATTACGGGCTGGGTTACCCATGGGTGTTATACTTGATGTTAAGCTACTGTGTTTGTCTATGTTGACAGTATTTTGTTGAGGAAATAAAAGTTGCATTGGGTTTTTTTAAACGCTGTAGTAAATATTATAACTTCACATAGATGATAGTTTTAGAACTTTACGTACTGTGCACCTTGTGCTAAGTTTTGACACTGGCTACCTAGATTGTGATAAGATTATTTTAAGATTTAGTTGATTTCTGTCCGATTTCCGTTTCATACTTAACTAGTAAGACTGTCACGATAAATGTAGGAAAAAGAAATATAAGTTGTGTTGCAGTGAATTTTGTATGGCATTGTTATTTAAGGCGTTCCTACAAGATGTCGGTATCAGAAAACAGTTCAACGTAACTTAGTTTGTTAATGCAATGTCATTGAGATTTATTGTGTACCCAGTCGCAAATAAAAATAAATTATTGGATGAACTATACGGTTTTTTTATTGAACATTAATATATCAACTTTTTAGCAAAGGCGGACGTGGCATAGATCAGCGGTTGCTTACGTATCTCGTTACGTATATCGTATTTTACCAATCTCTGTTGAAATTACCAGTTTTTCTCAATTTTTTGTTTGGGTTTCATTAGCTTTTGGCAGTAGAGAAACGATCCTTTTGCCTGGCGGTAAAAGGTCATAAGATCACGACATTGGCGTGGCTTGCCTTAGATGAGCCCTGTATCAATATTTATCGTAGTTATTCATGAGTTCCATAATCTCTTATTTTCTTTATCTGTTGGTTTTTACTGTTGAAATCATTCGTTACTCAAACTATTTTGCTAGATCGCGCCCCGTTTACCATACAATAAGTAGTATTAATTTCTTATTTCGCCTAGTCTCTTTAAAAGATTTTTAATTAAAATACTGGCTTACTAAATGAAACTGTTTTTAAGGTTTTATCCAATACAGCCAAGACAAGTTCCGGGATTCATCACTCAAATTTCGATAGAATTGAAGGCTGTCTCATAGTATATATGTCAGGAACAAAGGAAGATTATACTTTTCAGTCTTCCGTATTGCATGCCGCAGAATATTTAAGCGGTCTATGTCACTGAATCTTTCAGAATCCGGCTTATTTGTGGAGCAGGAGGTCATAGAGTGGGGAAGTGAGACGCTAAGAAATGATTCGATAAAAGAACCTAGATGCGACTCTGAAGGGATATCACTTAACCACTTTTGCTGCACGCCTCTAGCCTAGGACTATCCCGAAAAACGGAGTTAGAGTTTCTAAAGGACCGCAAATACAGGTTCTCCAACTGCTTGTCAAGCGGATCTCAGCAGATATTCCCGCTTTCTGTCTTCAAATTAGTCAACTGGCTTTGTCCGATAGATAGATCTCCACTTAAGTAATCGATAAACAGATCTTCAATCTATGCCTTTTTAGGAAGACTAACGCCCGGTTTCTTCAACACTGACCATCGTAGAACTGAATTGATCAGAATGATCATAAATGGTAATAAGCCACGAATTAAAAACCGTACACGGCGCGAGCGAAAGCATGCAGTGTTTGCTGATTTTTTTTTCTTTTACACTGACGAATTTTCGTGCCAGTGCAATAATGGGTTAAGGATTATACTTTCATCGCGTCTTCGATTTACGCTCTAGGATTCTACGCATTTCGCTCATCTTGTTTTTAAACGTTTTTGCGTTAAAGACATGGCAGCCGTGTCCGTTATAAAATCGTTATACGAGTATGGCAAATACGTTATTTCTTCCCTTCCCCTGCGCTTATCTCACATAGGTAGGTTCGGCACAACATGTGAATCGTGTTGTTACTGATGTCTGCTTGCCCGTCGTTGACCATCTTTGGGAATAAACTCTCATAGACCAGTTATCTGTGGGTCATAGAAATACTTGCTCGGTGTGCGAATCGAACACAGGACCCCCAGTGTCGAACCTTTATTATCATTTAGCCAATAGTTTAGTCACTGCGCCACCAAGTCATTAGTAAATCTTACGTAATTAAGAATAAGTACCTAACTGTAGTAAAGTTTGAATTAGCGAAAAACTGTGTAAAACTACCTATTTTCGAATTTTAAATAAGTCGCTAAGTGCAAAAACGATTTACAAAATAATTTGAATTTGAAAATTTTAGTCCAATCTTTCGCAAAAGAAAATACCATCGCGACAATAAATGAACACACATATAGGGGATAACTTTTTAAAGTTGTATTAAACATTTAAATTCTTTAAACATCAATATTCACAGAGTTATTAAATTTTCCAAAACAAAGAATTTTAGAACAACCTTACATATAAAAGCGTAACGTAAAGTTCATTTGTAAAGGTCACAAAGCATATGAATGGGTTGAATGAATTTAAAAGAGACAAAACATACTGTTAGAAGAAGAGGCTTGTAATACGACGCTGTGGCGCGAGTTGTATAGCATGTTACAACAAATTTTGTTTCTTTTTTACTTAATTAGTTCGTTTGAAAAATATTTTTTTTTTTTATTATGGATTTTGTTTAACGTTAACATTTTTTATGATTATTGGCAAGTAGCGTTAGACGTGTGTTCATTTATTGTCGCGATGGTAACGACACGCTGTAAAATTCTTCTGTGCATTTGTATGTTACTGAACTCCTAAACGGCTGGACCGATTATAAAAATTATTTTGTATGTCTTCAGGTGGATTCGAGAATGGTTTAGATTCACAATTTGGTCCAATACATTTTTTTTTATTTATTATTTGTTGTCGGATGTAAGTCGTGTGTACAGGACGTCCGTCGGGCCCGCTATTATAAATATATAAAAGTTGATGTTCAAGAAACAACTTCTAAAAATCACCAATGATGTCGCTGTCACGTAGCGATGGTTAGGTGAGTCAACAACATCATTGTCCCTTACTACCGCTGTCGCAGACCAAACTATCGGAATTTTTAGAGTTGACATTTCCAGAAACGTCCAGTTCCAAATAGTCCTCAAAAAGCTTGGTGTGCTTAGCAAGACAAAACAGTACTTCACGTCGGCTCAACGCTTATCTCTATAAGGCGCAAATTCGGCCCCAAATGGGTAGCCTTCTCATTTCTGGGCGGGAGCCCATCATTACCAGCTTTTTAAGAATTGACCGCATAGAACGTAGGGGGCTCTGGTTATCGACGATCTAAATATTTGAGATCAACTTGGTTCTGCACTTGGATCACTCTTTACACTCGGATATTTGTATTTAATATTTCTTCTTGTACCTAATGTTAAATTTTATCATCATTTCAACTTCTGATATAGAAGCAGTAGGTTCATCACATTTTATTACTGTAATAATAGGTTTGAGGTGCATGTAGCATGATACATATTTTTTTTAATTTATATCACTGATAACATACGTGGTAAAGCGAAGACTTGCGTGGCCCTCCCACAGATAGTTTGACTTCAAAAGCTCTTCTACCCGATGGTTGGGCAAAAAGCATCGCGCCGATGTGTCTCCTTAGATCGATTAAGTGTGGCGTATCAGTCTCAAGTTGATTGTGGTTTATCCGACCGAAGATTTCGTTCAAACCTCTGCGAATCCTGTTAACGAAAAATGGATAATTCTACTAACAAAGAAGCTACGACAGGATCCAAGGGCTCTCCAGATGGAAGTTTTAACTTCAGCCCGGACCGCGGTCGTTAATAAAACCTGTCCAGAGGAAGTAATAACGTCCAAATCGAAAAATAATTAGTTAAGATATTTAATAATTACTAAGGAAAATAATTAGTTCACGAGATAAAATTATTTACGCAACACAGTAATAAATTTATGGAATATTAATCTTTCAAAGATAAAAGTTTCGTAATTAATTGCGTTACGAGCGAACGATCGTATGCAGACTCGCTATTAATTAACAGTAACAACACGATGTAAGCGATCTAAAAATGGATCACCAAGATATCGTGTCAATAGGGACCAATAAAACAAAATTCGATTGAAGTATATGTAATGTATAGTCTTACAGATAGTATTCTGAGAGACCTTTTTTTTTGTACTCTTATAGTATACTATTGCTAAAAACACATTGGATCGATGAAGGGCAAACAATACTTTTCGTAAGCGGTTAACCACATCCGCGGTTACGCATTATCCGTAACATGTTCACATATTTCAATGCGTGTAAAAAAGACTTTAGCTCGCTCATCGAGTATTAGTATATGAATGAAAAAAGCCCCCTTAGAACCGAAGAAGTGAAAAAGAAACCAAAAATCAAGCGGCTAAAGATTAGTATGATATGAATTTTAGACGTCCACGTAACTTTTTGCAAACAGACAATCTTTGATGTGTTACAGTGATGAATTAACTAAACTGTGTCGATGTATTTGAATTGAAGTAATAAAAGTTTTGATT